TACCAATTTGGAGACAAGCGGTAATTCATTCCGGCCAAGTAGGTGACGCGTTTGGCCATTTGACCCTAATCGTAAAATGGAACACTTTACGTAATTTATTAGCAAATGCCACAAAGCAGCCCAGTTCCAAATTTTCTCGAAGGCTCGTTATAGTGTCTGGGGTCCGTCGAGGTCGGACACTGTGTGCCAAAACTTTAGCTCCTCTGCAAATATGAAAGATGGTACCACTAGCAGGTCGGAGAGCTCATTGACATACAGAGGAAATAACAATGGGCCAAGTACCAAACACTGCGAGACCCCATTGAGGATTGACTGACGGAAAGAAAGATTAGACCTTACACGAACACACGTCTCTCTCCCTTCCAGAGACTTAGTGATCCATTGTAGTGCCCTCTCTGATATTCCCTAAGACCGAATCTTCAATGTACTGTGTCGAAGGCCTTGGAAGTCAATAAACAGTACATCTATTGCATGACCCAGATCCAAAGCATCCTACCAACATTCGTGTGCAAATAGCAAATTGGTCAAGCAGGAGTGACCCTTGCGAAAACCGTGTTGAAGTAGACTGAGCCGACGAAAGTCCCGCCGGTGGTTTCCAAACACCTCCCTAACCAACTTCGCCAATAATTTGACCAATGTAGTTCTCAAACTTACCCGTCTATCGTTGGCAGGGAGATGTCGCCCTTATTAAAAGTCGGGCAGACGATAGCATCCTTCCAATCCTTGGGAAAGGACCCGCTACGAAGTGATAACTAAAACCAAGGTTAGATGAGTGAAGCGTAGATGAAAGTAAATAGAAACATATTATGCTGAGAATGACAAATACAACTCGCGAAACTGGACACTAATATTTAGATCCATTTTCCTCTGATGCGAAACAGCATCACACTAACCTGTAGATAGAAAGGAGTTGTCACTTCGGTAGGTGAACCATAATGCTAGATCGTTCACTGAGCTACGGTGCACCGTCGCCGGTCCTACTGTTTAATAATGAACAATAACTTCCTACAGGTTGATGCAATCCTCTTAAAGTCCAGTTGGCTGGTCATCGAAAAAAGTTAAAATACCTTTAGCACCTTAAATATCAAAAATAAGACTTATCGCCTGTTATGCTGCAGTCCTGAAATGCACATCGTTTTAGTGAGCCAACAAGCGACAGCTAATAAATCCAACGTAAATTTCAGGAGTTACAAAATTTATGTGGCTGAATGCGTCATCCAAGCTACTTTTAAATATGGTTAATATTCGCGCAGGAACTACCGGTTCGGCGAGAGCGTACTACAGGTGACACAATCGAGTTGAAAAGAAAGTTATGCGGCAATCCAGGCCCCTGCACTGCTTTGCCAGTTTCATGGAGTGACCTCTTTTATTTTATTGCTAAATTGCAATAAGGTGTGGCACATATGGCGCGGATTTTGCCGAGCCAAATAGGTCAAATGAGGTCTTAGTTTAGGAAATTTGAAACCAGCGTTACCCTTTATAATTCCAAACATAAAATGTCAGAAGACGCAGATTGTGAAACGACGCCGTCTTTCATGTGTTCTTATCAATCACAAAGGTATGCAACATTAGAACCTAAGCAAAGAGTGATCATAGATAGTAAAACGCACGGACAACCATCCGTAGGCCTGTCTACTGAAATCTGATCTGGGGTGGCCCGTATTTGCACTGTGCAAGGTTCGATGCAATCCAACAAAAACACTGTCTTGTCCGGGCACTATTTTATTGGGCCCACATTCTCTGCATCCCCAACACTATAGTGGTAGTAACGAACATGCTATTAAACATGCTGCAATCCAAAGGTTATCCCGTCAAGTTCATTGAGCGCCACTGTGAAACAAACAAGCAAGATCGTCGCAGACAGTCCCAAAGAAAACCATTCCCATTAAGCTATCTTTCTAAGGTGGAAACGTGATGAAGTCCACCAAGAAAAGTATGAGGGCCTTCATGAAATTGCGTACAAGACGACGGAACTGCTGCTGCTCATCTAGACTAGACGTACACTAATGTATTCGACTGACACATATGACAAGGCAACGCATGCTTCACTGTCTATACAAATTTACCTGCAATTACGAAAACAGCTAATTTTGGCTAACTGACCGCAGTCTAGATGTAAGAAACAATGAAAACATCCCAAAGTAGTTAACTAGCCGGAAGGGATCTGTGACGACGGAATCAATTGACTCAGGAGACCGAGCTATCCCAGCAGTCACTGGACACTTGCTGACTACTGGGCGCCGAGTCAATCCTGACGAGTCGTTCACAGTCTTAATGTGCGATCAGCAGCCCAAAATGCTTAAGCTATTGGTGGCTATCGTTATCGATCGCGAACGACCATCGCTGTATATTCAAAAACAGCGGATAGTAGCTCTAAGCAAACGGTGGTAGCCCGTGCGTTTCCTATCACCGTTTACTTATGTTCTAATGTTGTATGTTTCTGTGCTTGATAAGAAAACACGAAATGACGACGTCGTCTCGCGATCTACGTCTTCCGACTTTGTGTTGGGCAACTTAAGACCGCCTCGTAACCGGGGATACCGTCCACTGAATACCGGCAAATATTTCAGCCTTTGCTAATGCGCGAGGTTGCTCATTTCAACGACGGGCCGGGATTCTCGACGTTGAGACTGCTCCAATGCAGTGAGTTCGTGTTTCAACCACAGACGCCAGACTTGGATCGCGTATTCGACAGTAGGGTGAACATACTCACTGGGCAGATGTAGGAAACTTGAGGTATCTATTTGTCAGAACGCCCTTCTCAACAGACCGACTTCTTGGTTACCAACTTTCCATACCTTTCCAGTTTATGTGAAACAACCATGGCCATCCGGAAACAATACGTTCGACGGAAGGCCGTCGTAGTAACTGCTTCCCTAGCCTGTATGAATAGCTGCTGTGGTGTCGTATGGAGACTATTCTGCATTGGCTCACCTTGGATTGTAGCAAATTTTGAATTGACCATTGATCTACGGTGTCTATGGCACACTGAAGCAAATGTTGATCGAAATCCGCTTGATTCGTGCGTCACGTCGCCCACAAACAGTGGGAAGTCTGAAACGATTGTCTGCTCGAGGTTATTAATAAATAACGAAATTGATCGTGGTCTTAGAACCGATCCTTGCAGCACACCACACTATACTGGTATGGGGTCAGGTGAGGAGCCTTAAACTCCGACCCTAATTGTCGTTGAAGGATGAAATTGGCCACCTAGATTAAAAGAGGGTCAGTGATGCCGTTATGCTGGAGCGATATCATGCCAATATTTAGCCTATTCATCTCTGTGCAGGTTTAGAAAATTTAAGTTAATAATAGCGGTAGTTAATAATAGCGGTGTCATCTGATTACGCACTGATTTTTAGTGGTAGCTGGAGGCGTCTGTTGACCATTTGGCTTGTACAAAATCACATAGTATGATCAGAAGTCAGGGTAAGCAGAGATCTGTTTTTGATAATTTATCTTCAGGCCTGTATAATTGGATGCGTCAAAATATACAGAGACATTAAAAGTCGTTGCTCCTAGGGCGAGTTACTTGGATGCTGACAGCGTTGTCTATTAACTCACGACAACCGACCTCGTGTGACTTGCATTAGAGGTCACTGGCCTTTTGCACCAGGATAGTCCCAAGTCTTTAGCTTGCTTCCTCTGAACATATTTCACTGGCTCATACAGCCGGACCGCAATTGCCTCAGCGGCCTATAATATGTTTGCTTGTCGACGTAGTTCAAGCGCTTCTTTTGAGCCTTATAGATAATGTTGGAAGTATCAGTGAACTTTATGGCGTGCCCTTTATCGGATAGTTGTGCGACTATAGAAAAGTCGGCTGTTTTTCTATTTCCAATTCTAAACCGGCCAGCTGGTGTTCCTTCACTCTCTCAGATAGGCGCCTTGTTGTACAACCAATGTACTTCGCTGCACAGGAGCATGAAAATTTGGTTTTTACTGGGTAGTATTTGAGGTGGTGCGCTTATTTGTGCTCTGATTCGAAGTATATATTGAGCAAGTGTATCCCAAACAAACATCGTCAGTTGTATAGAGAAATTAAATGTATTCCAAAATCCATTCAAATGTACGTAGAACTCGTACATGTAGAAATGAATTTGCATATTATTGGCGGATTCTCCCAGTATAACAAGGGCAGAGGACATGTTCTGCTTTGTTTGAATAACGAGTCTATAGTAAACGATTGGCGAACTCCTTGCAAACCACCATTTTGACCCAGCTCATCTCGTAACGGCAGTATGCGAATGCCCTTCATGTGAAGTTCAGGTGCCCTGGCTGTGTCTGAGGTGCATCTGATTTGAAGCAAGTAGGAACAAAATAATTTCGAATTAGTTGAATTTTCAAACTAAATTAGGTCAGTTAGCAACAGGCATAAAATAGCACCTTTTCGTTATCTCGGAGTTTTTGAAATATAACGATCACCGGCCATTACGGATTGGATTGGAAACAGCCAGCTAATGCATTTGTTGGGCAACGATCGAAGCAGCTGCCAGGATTAACTGGAGTCCTCTTTTCGTTCGATAGAGAGCTTGACAAGCGACACCTAGGGTTCGTTGAACGGATACAAAGCTAAGGACTTTGCCCAAGCAATTTCATTGAGATCGCACAACGCAAATTACTTTGAGGTATGTATCTTTGTTTTACAATACTCGGAGGTTGGTATTGAAAAATAGCGATGCACATCATGGGAAGGCAGGCATCGCCGAAAACAGTTACAAAGCAACACTTGCTCAAATCATAAGTGGTGGACTACATTAGGCAATTACTCTGTAGATAAAACATATGCTATCCTATCACAAAGTTGTTGGGTATATTTTTAATACACTATGAACAACACTATAAACAACTTTAACCTGAGCAAATTTTGCGAAATCTCACCTTGGCTTGGATGTTTAGGGAACCTATCGTGCCATATTCTACTCATTCAGATGTTTCGTTTGCTATCCTTGAAATGCTTCATTTTTTGTATCAATTTATTCCTTATTTTATCGGACAAGATAGTGACGCTTTCCTTCTGGGAAGAACAAGGACAACGGCGGAAGGATGCAATAGTGGAAGACACGTTGCAGAATGTCCAAACCCTTGAGAAGTTACGCCAAACTGAACTACAGTACCAGCCCTCAATAAGCCAAGGTCTACGCTACTGCTTAACAACACTGGATGATGAATTCAATGAAGTCACATATCAGACTATCTTCAGTCGTTTGCTCGACCACCCAGGCTACACCGGAACCTGTAGTAATGATAATTTTCGCGATCGTCTACTGGTGACGTTGGGGTGGCCAAGCGAGGGTCAATGTGGATTCGAAATGGTGCAAGGTGGTACAGCGGATTTCAAATGTTTGGTTATCCTTCCGACTTTTGATTCAGTGGTACGATTCAATCAAGATGAGAATGCATTTCACTACGGTCTGGAAAACACGGTTGTCGCAGCAGGTGTGTTTTATCCTTCCCGGTACCGGAGGCATACTGACGTCCTCCTGGCTGCGATGACACTGCGTGAGGTTTACGAACAGCCTACTGCTACAAGTATACAGATAACAAGACCCATTTCACTCATCGCATCGTTTGGTCGCAGTCCACAAGTGACAGTCATGACATCAACAGAGATGTTCGTTATCGACAAACTGAGAAACATCGCCACTGGAAGCATGGCGAAAAAGTTCAAGATGGTATTTCATGATCCACAGCACTACCCAGTTAAATGTTGGAGGAACGACGCGTTAATGGACTTGGTGCAAAGTATGCCAATCAGTTCTCCGTGGTTTCCTTGCTCCGACGCGCCAATGGTAAGTGATGCATGTGGCGATTATCCAGCTAGTAACTACGCAGTGACTCACGCATCTTGCGATTCCTAACTCACGCATAATCAGCATACCTATTCCGACATACACGTTCATCCCTCTGTGCCTGGTGTTACGTTTGACATAAATGTAAAACACGTAAATTGGGTTTAGCAACCGGTGTAAATAAATAAATATGTGTGTATATGTTATAATGGTCGACTACTGCTACTCTTCGTGTAAGATCACCAACCGCGTCCCGTAAAACAGTAATAGTGACAATGCATCCTGTCCTATTCTTGGAATATGCTAACAACTAACGAATCGCAACTGGATGAATGAACGCTGACCCGAAGCCGTGCTGACAGTCTAGTTTAGTAACCGACTGAAAAAATCGCTTGTCGAAAACATTATCAGTTCGAGTTTTTCGTAGATGCAAGTAGGATTCTAATATTGCTCATATAGATGTCGTGGTTGCACAGAAGTATAGAGAGAATTCTTTAAGAAAAGGTATCTGTGAATTGCATGCATACTGGAGGCATCTTGTCCATCACATTGCAAACGCAGTGCTTCACTAAGTAATGCCACCTTAAACAACTGAGGTCTCGAAATATAAGGAGTAAAGAATCTAGCTTTATACCTATCCGATTTGGTGACTTTCTTGTGAACAGTAATCGTAAAACTTGATCCCCTAATGTGCAATGTGTTTGGTGTGCATCTAAAGAAGTGTAAAATATGCGTTGTTTCCACTAATTCTGTTGTAGCAGCTCGTTTGGTAATGCAATCAATTTGCAAAGCAAGCAACTAATGCTGCTGGACATTAGATAATGCCGAGATGGTTGACAGGCATTATAGGTGGCCGTTGTTTACATATATTTACTGGGTAGGCAGGAACGACTGCCCTTATAACTATTTCAGGATTGACGAACCCGGAGATAAAGGCGATTACAACCAACTTCTAAGTGTTTATGGCGTGTCATGCAAGTTTCTGATAGTGATCTCTTGCGCTACTGTGATCAAGCTCTTGCTGGTAACCATGCATGCCATTTGAATCATTCAAAGTCCGCTGCGTCATCATCTGATTTGGATGCAATAATCAATGACATTAGATTTACACCCCGACTACCTCTGGCCATGGACGCGACATACAAACGTGCCGAGCAAGGGACTTTCTTAATGTACCGATAGCCTGCTTCTGTAAATTCTAACTGTCCTGGATATCACTTTAGAAATGACGAAATGTCTATACTCTGTGAATCAGGGGTGGATTGGTTGGTCGCTACTAGTGTCATCTGTAAACTAGTGGAGCGTGCTGTCAGAGTAAGTCGGGGCTACCGTTTAAAAGCTTACTAGCAGAGGTCCCTAAGAATACACATTCAAGGGGTTGGAAAGGCTTGGAAGACCTCTTGCATTAATCTGATTTCAGTAGTGATGTGCTTTGAATCGAGTGAGTGAAATTTATGTCCACATAATGTGGAACCCCGGTTTCGAAGTCATAAAGCTGAACTTCAAGATTTGCAAGATGCTGCCCGTATTTTTGGAGTGCAGTAGAAAAAAGGTATTTAGCAAAGCCATAAAACAAACACTTAGCAGTTTCCGAAAGTAAAAAGAGTGAGATCAAAAATGGATGTATATAAGTAAATCGTAGTGGTGGACTCGCCGAAAGTTTCACATGTACACATAGTTTGGTTACGTTGTCCATGCCCCAGTCATGTGAGTCAAATCATGTAACGCAGGTGGTGTAGTGCGGTTTTAAGTGAAAACGTTAAACCAGCTAGCGTAGGAGCGAAGATGACAGAACGCGGGAAGTAAGTTCCACGGCTGGGATGCCCGAACTTCGAAAGCGTCACGCAGCATTCCAACTGGGGCTATCCTGTGTTTTCACTTTCATATGATGACATCTCAATGATATGTTGCGGCCGAGTTTCATTAAGAGTCTCTTCATGGGTAGTCAGGATGCTTGCGGATCTGGTATACCAATATGAGATCACCTCACAAAAGACTATATTGTTCGTTAAGAACTCCAGAGTCTTTATTCTAAACTGGTAAGTGTTAAAGCAACTCTTAAGATATTTTGTCACCCTACGTTGTAGATTCTCAAGACGAGCAAGGCCAATTTTAGCTAGAGTTGAGATGTCTACATGGCGTGTTCTACACATGGCCTTAAGTAAGTGTTGAGCACTTATGAAACTAAGATGGGGTCAAGCTGGCCAAACACCGTCCTTAGTAGGCCCAAGTGTTGTCTGGCTTTTGCACTGCCTTCTCAGCCAGTTTTGAGCATCCGAGCTCATCCATGGCGAGCATCCCATGATTGGTTTTATGAGAATCGCCCTGCAGGACGTGTTCTCCCAGTTAATACTCCTATTTGATTTGGTGGCATGCATACCATGATTTACACTTAACGGGGTTATGCTCGAATGTTCTGAGTCGGCCACACATAAGCCCAGTGGAGAGTACCTTACAGTTCTATGTGGTCCTCTAGTCTATTGACTGCCCTTCAGATCTTGAGATCTTCCGCAGGAAGCAGAAAGTTCGGCGTCATAACGCCGGCAAATTAATTTAGTGACGTCGATCGTTCTTAAGACCGCCGTACTTTTCTTTCCAAAGATGTGTTTAGACGGTATCTATAAATCTGTCCCAAGGTTTAATTTAGTTGGGACACTGGATGCTAGCAGTAAACTTGTTACATATACATTCAACGATACCAATTACACGGGATAAAGGGCCACTTCCTTATGAAGAAGGAAAGGTGAAATTTTTTGTTATTATCACGTTACAAACCGCGAAGAATGGCTGGAATATGCTTCCTTAACAGCATAAATCGTAATGTACGACGTTCCTGAAATATGGTACTAGCAGCACTTAGCCAACAATAGTCTAGTCAGTAATTTTCGTGTCAATCTCACTGGCATATCGGGCCTTCTGCTCCGACTGATGCTGTTTAACGTAAGTACCGTGTTTGTCTGAATGAGATAGTCAATAACAAACAACCACAGCACTAATAGATACATAGAGGCTTTGTCGAAACATCATTAGCTACGGTCGGTAGGCTAAATCATGGAACAAATAACAACAAATGTCGAACACTGCATTTCCCTACTTTTGTTATCATATTAACGACTTGTTTAGTAAAGGAAAGCAAGGATTTAGAGACTCATGTTCCAGAAAACGTAAGGTGCAACACATTGCAGGCCTTCGGTATAGAGACTGATACTACTGATGGTGTCAATTTATGACGAATCATTTAAAAATTCAAACGACCAGTTCGAGCGCTAAGCTGTTTTCAATTATACATGACAATGGCAAAGTAACACTAACTTTACGGAACTTTCTGATGCAGCATTTGATTCACGATGCTGCTGGTGATGAAGAAGGGGTAGGTTTTGTTTCGATCCTGTTAACGTTAGCACATATTAGAGGTTAGATGCCATATGGTGGCTGAAGGGGGTCTTCTAGGACGAACTCAAGAGGTTCAAAAGTTGTGTTAACATAGTACGTCAAAATAGGGTACTTAGATGTTACTTAGATGTTCATCATAATGCTGCAATCGTTTCAGAAGTGCATATTCCCGGATCAATTTCAACTCGTGGTTAAGAGAGCAACGATCCCAGGAACTGAAGATACATCCACTGATACAGAGAGAGAGGTTCAGTGTCAATTTCATGCTGAATGAGACAAAATATATAGGTAACGGTTGAAGTTCTTGAGTCTGAGCGACACAAACAAAAATGCAGGTGTCAATTCGCCTGATCCGTTAGACTTGGCAGTCCCACTGGTTTCTGTCTAGCCCACAAAGAGTGTACACATCCACACGGCGAGTGGGAAATTCACGATAAAAAGCGATGACTTCAAGTTGTCGTCACTTTGTCTGTTCCCTCTTCCCCAATACCTTTCGTACACCTTAACAAATTAGTGAAGGTTAGTTGTATTCAAAAATAGAAGAGCGATGCTGAATGACTGAACAACTGCGAAATTCGTCCGGAGATGGTGGACAAGGAAACTGTTCGTATAAAGTTGCACTTTCTAAATCGTTTCCTTGCGCTGCACTATGTCCGAGACGAATGGTTAGATTGATGATCAATGCAATGCTGGCACCTTTGGGTGTAAGGGACCAAAAATGCAGAAAAACTTCCCTATAATTCTACTAGAGTCTCCGAAAGGTGGATATAAATCTGATACATCACAGTAAATGCAACAGTCGCTGGAACAATGGAACAATTGTATAATACGGATAAAAATACCAAGGCATGACAAGTCCCGTGGGATGGTTTATGGGAATAATGTTAGTTTAATTAAGTTATACGAAAGTGAAAAACGCATATGTGGACTCATCATGTTATTCACGTTAACACATGGGTATATCCTTCTAACCCGATTTCGTAGGGTTGGTGAGCACAATATTTGTCTGCGTCTTGTCGTCACTCAGTGAACAGAAATCAGATTAATTAATGTAAATGGTGTAAAGCATCGTGGTCGTTTTAAAAAAAATGATTAGCGTGGGCACTGTACTGACAAAAGTCGCGAGGGCGTTTCACGATTGGCAAACTATAAGGCAAAAGTAATTCCGGCGGCACTCCAGCCGACTGCATTGGATGGCCAGTTTCAATTTATGACCTCTCAATTCTGTGTTGCAGCTAAGCTTCAGAAGGTTTCAGCAACCGTGACCGGGGTTTATCAAAATCTGGAACGCCAGGATGAGGTCATCTCGTAGACGGTGACATCTTTCGCTATACATTCCTAGGACTTTCAGTCGCCTATGGTATTGCAGATGGGACAGGTCATTCACATTTCTCGTTGCTCCTCACTGTGCGGTCTCCAGTGCAACCAGGTTGCGTTTTAATCAGGGTTGCCAAGCTTGGATCACGTACTCTACATTGGGTCGCACAAACGCATTGAGTATTTGGGGACGATGGTGGAATTGAACTTCCCGAAAGCCCTCCGTAACAGACCAACGCGTTGGTTCACAGCTTTTAGGCCTTCAAGGACTCTGCCAAACAGCCGAGGTC